CCTGCAGCCCCGCGCCACCGCGGCCAGTCTCACCTGGCGGCGCCGCCCGCCCACCGCCCCAGCCACAGCCCTTGCGCCCACGGCGACAGCCGCGGCGACCACGACAGCGGTGGGGGACGCTGCTGAGTCGAAGAGAGCGCAGCCCGGCCACCGGACCTACTTACTCGCCTTGCTGATTGTCTGTTTTTATAAGAGTTTACAACTTTTCTAAGAACTTTTGTATACAAAGGAACTTTTTAAAAAAGACGTCTCCAATTTATACTTTAAACAAGAAGGATCTCGGGCAACTTGGGGTTTTGGTTTTGGCTTCGTTTCTAAGTCTTTTTCCTCTTCGTTGAGTTTGGGGTTCGTTTACCCCCGCTGCTTCGGATTCCCGAGGACTTTCTGGGCCCCCACATTAATGAGGTAGGTGAGGCTCCGGGAGCTGGGGACAGGGAGGGGTGAGGACCGGTGGGACGCGCCGGAGCGGCGGCCGAGAGTGGCCCCTGACTTCTGCCTCCGTGTGCACCCCGCCCGGCCTGCAGGCAGCCACCTGGCGAGTCTGACATGGCTGTCAGCGACGCGCTGCTCCCGTCCTTCTCCACGTTCGCGTCCGGCCCGGCGGGAAGGGAGAAGACACTGCGTCCGGCAGGTGCTCCGAATAACGTGAGTGTTGTTCCCGGCCACCGGGAGCGCCCGGTGGGCTTATGTGGATGGGGTGGGGGCGGGCGGAACCCTGGGGTCACCTAAAGCCACGGGGCGAGAGGAAGGAGTGGCCCTCGCACGGACTCCGCAGCCTTCCCCGGATGGCTTCCGCGTCCTTCGCTCGGCTGTACGAGTGCGTGTGGTCCGGGCACTGCAGAGCCGCCTGGGGCTCAAACCCGGTCCTTACACGTCCCCAGGCACGCAGGCGGTAGGGCGGGCGGGCGCAGGCCACGGGGCGCGAGGTGGCTGCGTCCCCAGACGCCGGCTGGGCCAGATTGAGCTTAGCGCGTAGGCGGCCCAGTGGCTAGGGCGCACCGAGAGAGTCTCGGTGTCCCAATTCCGGGTGCGTCCCGGGATCTGGCGGGGGAGGGACCGGGGCTGGCAAGCCGCGGCTCTCGTTCACACGCAATCGGGCACACACTGTATAACACTCTTGGTACAGACGCACCACCTCTCCTCGGACCCGGGTGTGGGCCGAGATTGCAGCAGCGCCCGCACCCGGAGTCCCCGGGCGCTTCCTGCTTTCCCATTCTCCATGCCCGGGTGGTGCAGGCGAGGGTGGCCCGCCAGCAGGTCACTACGTCGGGTGGCAACAGGAGACCGCCGCTGACGGTTTGTTTCTCTCCCGCCTTGTCCCCGCAGCGCTGGCGGGAGGAGCTCTCCCACATGAAGCGACTTCCCCCGGTACTTCCCGGCCGCCCGTACGACCTGGCGGCGGCGACCGTGGCAACAGACCTGGAGAGCGGTGGAGCCGGCGCGGCTTGCGGCGGTACCAACCCAGCGCTCCTACCCCGAAGGGAGACGGAGGAGTTCAACGATCTCCTGGACCTGGACTTTATCCTCTCCAACTCGCTGTCCCATCAGGAGTCGGTGGCCGCCACCGTGTCCTCGTCGGCGTCAGCCTCATCCTCGTCCTCCCCGTCTAGCAGTGGCCCTGCCAGCGCGCCCTCCACCTGCAGCTTCAGCTATCCGATCCGGGCCGGGGGCGACCCGGGCGTGGCGCCGGGCGGCGCGGGCGGCGGCCTTCTCTATGGCCGGGAGTCTGCTCCTCCTCCCACGGCTCCCTTCAACCTGGCGGACATCAACGACGTGAGCCCTTCAGGCGGCTTCGTGGCCGAGCTCCTGCGACCCGAATTGGACCCAGTGTACATTCCGCCGCAGCAGCCGCAGCCGCCAGGTGGCGGGCTGATGGGCAAGTTCGTGCTGAAGGCGTCGCTGAGCGCCCCTGGCAGCGAGTATGGCAGCCCGTCGGTCATCAGTGTTAGCAAAGGCAGCCCTGACGGCAGCCACCCGGTGGTGGTGGCGCCCTACAGCGGCGGTCCGCCGCGCATGTGCCCCAAGATCAAGCAGGAGGCCGTCTCCTCGTGCACTGTCGGTCGGCCGCTAGAGGCCCACCTGGGCGCTGGACCCCCGCTGAGCAATGGCCACCGGCCGACCGCACACGACTTCCCCCTGGGGCGGCAGCTCCCCAGCAGGACTACCCCGACCCTGGGGCCTGAGGAACTGCTAAGCAGCAGGGACTGTCCCCCTGCCCTGCCGCTTCCCCCAGGCTTCCATCCCCACCCCGGGCCCAACTACCCACCCTTCCTGCCCGACCAGATGCAGCCGCAGGTCCCGCCGCTCCATTATCAAGGTCAGTCCGGGGGAGTCATAGCTCAGGCTGGGGAGCCCTGCGTGTGCCGGCCCCCCGGGAGGCACGAGGTGATGCTGACCCCACCTTCTTCACCCGTAGAGCTCATGCCACCCGGTTCCTGCATGCCGGAGGAGCCCAAACCGAAGAGGGGAAGAAGATCGTGGCCCCGGAAAAGGACCGCCACCCACACTTGTGATTATGCGGGCTGCGGCAAAACCTACACAAAGAGTTCTCATCTCAAGGCACACCTGCGAACCCACACAGGTAGGGGGACAGAAGCTGTGGGAAAGAGGTTGGTGTCCAGCGCCATAGGCTAACCTTGGACACTCTTCAGGGCCTCTCTGGGATGCCGGCACAATCTATCTCCTCATCCTCATCTGGATCATAGGAGAGGACAGCAACCCCGCGCCTACTTTTTGCCCAGAAGCCTTTTGCTTGATGGATGGTATCTGTGCTTGAATGTGCAGTTTTGTTAGGCCTTTAAAAGGCAGGGAGATTCCCAGCGGTATGTGAGCCTCTCCCAGCTTGAGCAAAGTATTGCCCTTGTAATCAAGAAGTTATACTTTGCAGTGCAAAAGCGTGATGGTTTTTTTTAATCGGTTTTTAATTTTCCAGACTTTTTTCATTGTTTGTTCCCTTCTCAGATTCGCCCTCCCTTTTTATTATTTTTAGTTCTGGCCTTAGTAATTAGATTTTATTTAAGTTCCAAAAATTTAATAGTTATGATTGCTGGGGCAATTCTAGTTTAAGGTAATCACTGCAGATGTAAGTAGGTATATAAGGTCATTTAGGTGTAGCATTCATTAAAATAACAACAACAACAAAAAACTGCCTGTGGCTTTTTAGACTGAATTGTAATGGGATAGGATATTATTGCTTGGTTTGGGCAGGCAGAGACACACTCAATCATTTCCAAATTCATTTCCACCACTGTGATGTCTTGGCTCAAAAAAATGAAAACATTAGCCCTATAGAAGTCTAGGTTTAGGTGGTGGTTGTGTTTTCATTGCTTAACTAATGATCCTCTAAAAACAAGAACAAATACTTAGTAATGTATTATTCCTGTTTATTATCTGAAATGTAGTATGGTCCTTCAGTGGTATACACATTTCCTGGATTCTTTCAGAATGGTGTATGTGGGGAGTTGGTTTAATATTGGACCTCCAGTATTTAAAAGGGCTAAATCTTTGTTATAGCAATGGCTTCAACAGCTTTTTTTTTTTCTCTTTTCCCTTTACAGGTGAGAAACCTTACCACTGTGACTGGGATGGATGTGGGTGGAAATTTGCCCGCTCAGATGAACTGACCAGGCACTACCGCAAACACACAGGGCACCGCCCTTTCCAGTGCCAGAAATGCGACCGGGCATTTTCCAGGTCGGACCACCTCGCCTTACACATGAAGAGGCACTTTTAAATCCCAAACAATGGATAGGACCCACACTGCCAGAAGAGAATTCAGTATTTTTTTTTT